ACCATCACGGTGGTGAGGGACCTCTCATGAGTGGCGCAGCCTCGCTGGGCTTGGCTCCCTGAGTCTCCCAACCCATAGCCAAGGGATTCCCAGCTTTCCTTTCCCTGGATGCTTTGGGAGAATCCTGGTGCTGGGGTGAAAATCAGAGATATGGGTCTGCGGGGCTGTTACCCACCGGACATCTCAAACGTGCCCGTCACCGCCGCAGGCATCGCCGGTCGGTCGCTCCTCACCGTCCCTTCCAGCCCTCCCAGCGCCCGCAGGCGGCTGTGCCCCAGCCCCGGGCGCAGGTGTTCGCACCGGAGACCACGGTCCTGAGGGACAGCGGGCGGGCGGTCGCCACCTTCCCCGCCTGGGGCGACCCACATCCTGCCACGGGGTTAAACTCCCCAAGGAAAGGAGGGAGGAAGATAGGAAAAACAATCACAAGAATTTGTTTCATGCTGCCTGGATCCCTCCCCGCATGCAGCAGTGTTTTTGGACGGCCAATTTATAATCAGCAGTGTGGAATGTTGTAAATTAAATATTTTTAAACAACTTTGCTCTCTCTCTGGTTAAACATTTCAGAGATCGCTCTTTCTTGTCTGTCTCTTGCTGGGTGGTCCCTCCATTCGCCCGTACATCTTCCTCAAACACAATTAACCATTTAGATGTTGCACAAAGGAATAGCTTATGCATACAACACCAGTCGCTTGCTGCTCCGGCGCTGGGGGAGGGAGGCAAATAAGAAGGCAGCTTCTTTTATTTTCTACCAAAAACAAAAACAAGAAAATCCCTTTTTCCTTCCCAAACTATCCCATTTTTCCATGAATTGTAAAGGCACCGATCCAAGCTCATCAGCTGTCTTGGTGCTCAGTCCAACAATCCCCTTGCGTCCCCCCTCCCCTGAAATTCAGCATTAGCATTTTAAAAGCCTTAAACATACAAGTTTATTTAGACTCAAGCTCTCCCAAGCTCTTGCTTTCCATATTTATATACACACGTATTTTTAACGTATATAAAATGTCTGTCTATAGGGCCTGGAAGGAAGTTCTCGTCTGCCGGCCCGTCTGGGAGGCACAGGCACGGCTGTGGACCTTGGCTCCTGGGAGATGGAGTGAAAACCAACAGGATCCAGAAATCAGCCGCCCGGCTGCAAGCGAGCGAGCCTCCGCGGGCTGGCTGCTGTAGAGATGCTCGGGGGTTTGCTGGGTGCTGTACCCTGGTGAGGGCACCTCCATGTCCCTGAATTAACCCTGTGGGTGGCCCAGTGAGAAGGGGCCTGCACCCCTGTGCTTCTGCCACGGCACTGGGGGGCTGGGACGGGGCACGATGGGCAGCCTGTAATGCCACGGACCCAGCCCTGACGGCCCGCTGCAGCCTCCGGTCCTTTAAAACAGGTGACCAAAGGCCACAGGAATGGCCATGTGTGACAGGAGGGCAGCACCGATGGCCACCACGGTGTCCTGCCACCGGCAGTACCTGGGGGGCGGGTTACGCCACGCACTGTGCAACATGCAGTCGTCACATCATCGCTGTCGGTGCAGAAGATTCCTCTCTGAGCCCCACTGGGGGCTTGATCTAACCTTGCCCCTAGCAAGACACCAGGGCAGGGACCAGAGCCAGCCACTGGCCTTGCTGTGGACTTGGACCCGCGTGGAGGCAGCAAAGCACCTCCTGGAAACACTGACATTCCCCAGACCTGCAGGGTTTCATAAGGAAAATTCTGGTCTCCTGGGACAAGAGGGTCCCGCCAGCAAAGTCCAAAGGATGGGCAGGACTTGGGGAAAACCACTCTCTCCAGGTAGCCAGAGGAAGGAAAGCAAGGGGCAGAAGCCAGCAGAAGCAACATGGCTCTGCATGATAAACCTTGGGGACTGGAGGCAGTAAACGACCAGTGAGTCCTCGTGATGCCCAGCTCCAAGAGGTTCAGGAGACTCCTATTGCTAGGGCTGCACACACAGTGTCAGCTTGACTGGTGATGGGGGACCCAGACCTGCAGACTTGAGGCCATATGACCACTCAGCCTGGCCCTCCTCTCCCCTTCCTGTCCACAAGCCAAAAAGCTGTCCCAAAAGTGAGATCAAAGCCTGGTGCAAAGAAGGTTTTGTGTCCCTTTGAACACTGCCGGGGTGGGAAGCCCACTGTCCCTGGGAATGGCTGGCTGCTTTCCTCCCCCTCTCCTGGCTCTGCTCCAAGGCTGCCAGGAAGATGGGAACCATCCACTTGGGTTTGAGTGCAGATGAGCTGCTGCTGCCTCCTGAAAGATCACAACAGTCACCTACAAAAGCAAACAGGAACAGCTGAGGGACAAGAGCCATGGCTCTGGGAATCTGCAACTGCCCAGCAAATGCTTGTCCCAAATCTATGTTTTGCAAATGGGCTTGGCTGCAAAGATTGTGGGAAGGACCTTGCTGCAGAGCTGCTGCAAGCGGTGCCCACCTCCTGCAGAAGCCTGGGCAAGGGGACGGAGCTTCAGGTGCCCCTGTCACGGTGTGCTTGGGGTGTAGGACCCACAGGAAGAAGTACAGGCCAGGTGTGCGCACACACTGCTGCTGGGCTGTGCACCCACGCCAGCCCGCTGCCCTGGTCACTGAAAAAGCCTTTCAGGAGCTGCTGGCAGGACACCGCTCGGTGAAACCCTGGAGCCAGAGGTGCTGCCGCCGGCTGGGGACCTCACTGGGCATCATGGCAAGCCTCTGCCTTACCACGTGCAGATGCAACAACCTTCTCACAGCAACCCCAGCTGTACGTCTGCCGAGGAAGCGTTTAGGACAAAGCCTGTCCAGGAAGCACCAGCGTCTACAGAGCTGGGAAGCTCCATCTTTTCAGAGAAACGTGGCCTATAAAGCACCGCCTTGGTGCTCGCAGCACCGTGGTAGGCACAGGCTGTAACGCCCAGCTGCCTAGGCAGCAAAGCGAGGAGACTCACTTGCTATCTGAGGTGACCTGTTCCTCAAAGCTGGTGAGCAGCCCGCACCAGTAACACCTTCCCGAAATTCTGTATGACCTAGGACCAGTCATATCCAAAACTCTCTGAGAACAGAACTTCCTTTCCTCGGTCGCTTCCCTGATTTTCTCGAAGACCGTACCGTTTATCACTCGGTTTGCAAAGTTGCCTGACTCAATCCATCATCTGCTCACCTGATGATGACAGCGGCGTGGAGACCAGGATAGATGAGGAAGGGTTAACCTCCCAGTGCCCGCCTTAGGATTCCTGAAGGCCCTATTATCCCGAATTATTTTTCATAATTACTGCCACACACGTAGACTACATCAAGAGTGAATCTTCACTTTGATAATTTGTGCTGTGAAATCTCACTTTGGGATCTACTTTTATCTCACACCAAACACCTGCAGGTCGTAAAAGGCAAAAAGGAAAAGAAAAACGCCTCAAATCCCAGCCAGGTTTTCAAGTGTCAGAGAACACTAAATTAATGCTAAATTCTAACCGACACAGTGAAGAGCCCCCCACCCTCTTCTTAAATTAGCTAAACAAAAGGATTGAGACTTCAACATATAATTAAGGCACAAGGAGATAAAGCTGTAGCTGTTAAGTGAGGGGCTGCAGACTTCTCAGAAGTTAAGATGTATCCTAAAAATGGAGAGGGAGAGGGCTTTATGTTTAAGCAAAAGGACCGGGAGTCAAAGTCCCTGCGGACTTCTCTCGGCTTTGCCACAGCCTTCTGGTAAAATGCAAAGCCAGGTAATTACGCTCCGCTCTGTTTCTACACACCCAAAATGGATGCCTCGCTCCCTTGCCGCACACAGAGACAAGAACTCTCTTTAATTAACCTTTGTAAAGCCTCTGCGATCCTGGGATGAAAAAGGCTTCGTACCTTCGGAACATGTTTGCGCACATACGCAAGGCAAAACCCCTAGCACAAAGCCGGAGCTGAACTGCAGCGCGTTTCTTCTTTCTGCAGCTGGTCAAGGGCCTCGAAGCTCATCCTTGCCCGTACTTTCCATTCCAGCCTGGTCCTTTAGAGGAGGGATTTTGTTTATGAAACGCAGGGAATGTCTGGATTATAATCTCTCTCCTGTCAAATTAGCTAGGAAACAGCAATTTTCCTCGGGGGACACCTGTGCCCATGAAGCACACATTTAACATTTATCACTTCGGTTAATGAAACATCATCCCAGCCAGTTGCTGTACGCAACTCTGGATGTCAAACTGCCAGGGCAGATAAATGTCCCATTGAATCCTACTAGATTCTAATAAACAGCTTCTAGGTAGGAACTTGCGTCCAATTTATAAACGTTAAAGAACAGCTTGTGTTTCAATCCCATCCAGGTGCTTTACAATCCTGGCACAAGCCCTGACCACAAGGCTGTGCGTTTCACATTAGCACGCTCGACTCATCTCACAGACAACATAGGTACAGTCGTCCACAGATCACCTAGATGTGGGGAGGGACCTCCTGTCGGGAGTAGGAACAGCAGACCGACAAGCGCAAGAACCATCAAAATAAGGCAGAGAGCACCCACTGCTCACGCCCCACTTCCCCCCCATGCTCCCCAGCCCTCTCACATACTTGCTCTTGGGCAGGATTTCAAAGTAATGGACCAGACTCAGCCCTGATGGAAATGGGTGCCAAACTCCTCAACTGCATTACAGAAGAGGCGAAGCTTAAACACTTCTGCGCTACGGGGCAGCATCATGAGAGAGAGAGAGAGAGAGAGGAGGAAGAGGAGGCGGCAGCTGGTGAAGCTGCCGGGCTGCAAAGAGCAGCCGGCGTTACCGGTGTGCTTCGCTGCCCGCCTGCTGCGCTGCCGAGGTGCGCAAGCAGTATCCCGAGTGGTTTCTGCCAGCTCGGGGACGGTGGCGCAGGACTGCGGGGACGTGGTTTACATTGCAGGGAGGGCGGCTAAGTCATTCTTTGGAGCGGGCACAGTCTGTGTGGTCCCCGCTCTCCCCTCTGCTGGAAAAGTACAGTGCGTTCGCCGGGCGCGCAGGAACCGATATTACCCGGCACAAACCCGCGTGCATCCCAATGAGGGGGGGAGGGGCTGACGGACACACCGCTCTGTAAATACTTCTTTATTGAGACATAAATATAAAGCTGAACAGGAAAGGAGCAATGACAGGGTAGACCGTGCCAATACTGATCTGTACGGATGATCTTACGATGCTTGAACATCTGGTTCTGCTGCTGGCTTCCATAAAATCATCCTTAAAACCTACTTGGGTTATATCTCCATCAGCTGTTCGGTGCCCACAATGACTTCATTAACATGTTTGGCTGAAAAGAGAGAGGGAGGAAAAGAAGAGGAATTGAGTTTTGCAGCAGTGCTTCAGACCTTGCATTTTTCAAATCTGCAACTTTAAAACAAATGAGGAAAGCAGATTCTGGGGACTCGAACATGGATTCGCTGCCTTTCTTTGGCCTTCGGCATCTCTCCGACAGTATCCCACACACATGGCAAAAGCCTAAACAACTGACTAAACATCAGGCGGCTTCTCTAATGAGAGTTTTCATACGTACGTGTCACTACTAAACAAAAGAGGCCCGACAGAAGTCACAGCTGCTGCTGACAGGCGTACACCTGGGTTGAGGCAAAGAACCATCGACATCCAACATGGAGATCTGACATAAAATTAAAGACGAGTAACCCACGCTGGCCCTAAAGTGTGCTGTGTGCCCTCAAACTGCACAGAGATTGGGGAGGAGAGGGGCCGCCATCACCGAGGCAGCATGAGATCCTCTCAGCAATCCCAACTCAACCCTGGCAGCTGACAAAAAAAGGGCTTTTTCTTTTTTTTTTTTTAACTTAAACCTGACTTCTCCCTCCTGAATGCAAAAAATCTGGACGGAGCCTCTCCAAAAGCATCCGTGTGAAGCAAGGTCTCTGAGCACAGTTACCATCTCTGAGGGGAAGGGCGGACAGCCCACCTCAGACTCCTGTGGAGCAAATTTGTCGGAGGGGCCGTTTCTACAAGGTCACTCCTTTGCCTGTTCCCAGGAGCTCTGCACAGCCCCAGTGGACACATTAACGTGCCAGTCCCTGCCCAGAGCTGTTAATGCACGGTACTGAAAGAGCCTTCCCTTTAAAATGCAAAAGCAGCTTGTCAGGGAAGGACTGCAAATAAGGGATCTAAAGCCAAAATAATAAAAACACGCAACTGAAAGCCCAGCGCCTAAAAACCCCAGGCATGTGGCCTCAGAGCGTGACACAAAGCCGGTGTGCTCACAGTGGGTGTCCTCAGGGTACTGTGGGGGGAGGCAGTGAATGAAATTGCTCTCTGGGAGCTGCACACCTATTCAGGCGGAGCTCAGGTGGTTTGACCCATGCCCCTAGGCTCTCCCATTTCCCCTTCTGCACATTAGGAATAACAATCAGCTCTGGAGCCTGGGATAAAGCATCAAGGCCTGTGAGGTGCTGTAGGGATGGAGGCTGTGTTGTCTCCCACACCTTACACAGCCATGGGGGTGGATAGCCAAGGATGATGGAAATAACGAGTTGTGTTTTATTTACCCACCTAAAACTCCTCCCCTCAGGGGAGTGGATTTTGCAAGACTACTGCAAAACAACAAACGTGCCACCTTTGGCTAAATGAAGGAATTCCTGGCAATCCTCAAACTGGCTGGACCAACACGATGCTTCTCTTGGTATAAAATTCAAGACATTACCTTTGCATCATGCAAAACATTGCTCCAGAAAAGGTTTGATGAAAAACTGCTCTATCAACTTCAAGGAGTTTTGGACTATGGCAAGACAATTCCCCACTACAACCCCGACCCCACAATCACGTGGATCCTGCTGTCTCCTCAGCCTGGGGGACAGAGTTGGGTTAGCCACATGACCGCCTTTCAGAGACCCTTCATGAAGGCAAAAATGAGGAGATCAAGCAGCTGCTTCTCACTTTAAGGATCAGATCAAGTCATCTAGTTCTTTGCTCAGGATATTTAGTGACAACTGATAATCCTGGAGCCTCACATTAACATCTCGGAGCTCGAGGTTGGAACGTGGAGCCCAATCTCCAGCACTTTGGGCAGGACGAGCAGAGGTGGATGCAGCGCTCAGGAAAATGAGGGACTGACTGTACGAGTGCCAGGTGCAAGTGTGATGTAGGTAGCACCACACAACCTCTCCAGCACAGCTCTGCCAATAGCCCCAAGTCCAGCCTTCAGTGCCTCTCTCCTCCCGCCCCAGACCCCACACAGCTTTGCCAAGGTACCTCAAATCCAACCTGCAGCAGTTCTCGCTATAGCATTCCTCACCCCCAACAACTTTCCCAATATATCTCAAACAGGCCCTGTAGCAACTCCTGTGACTCCATTCCTGAACCTCCTCCAAGCAGTCTACCTATCATGTTGATTTCTGTGATGTGAATAAGACTCTGGCTACCATCCAAAGAGAGTAATTACGTTATGCTTCTGCAGATTAAACATGCCTTCATCTAGGCTTATGAAAGCCATGTCAATTTATGGTTCTATATATAGGTTATCTGTAGCAATACTTTTTAATAAGGAACTGCTTGCTTCATTTCAGACAGCATCCTGCACTGTCCTAAACGTGCAGAGCTGGGATGGGTCCCGTCCCATACTTTGTTGCAGAGGTGGTACCAACTATTTGCATTTTTTACTGACATGCTTGTAGCCGCCTTACACCTGATGAGTTCAAAACGCTTTTCGAGAGTGGGCAAATAGCAGCATTCCCATAGGGAAACTCAGGCAGCAGTGAGTTTAGGCAGTTTCAGTGGCCAAAGCCACAGGGGAAATCAGAGCATGCATCCCCTCATCTCCCATTCCTCTGCCTGTTTTGTCTCCTGGATCCGTGTGGCCCAGATTCCCCGAAGCGGGCACACACAGCCTGCCTGGTATGTCACTGCTACCTCAGAGACTTTTGTTAAATCACCAAACTCATTTCTCCTTGTACAGGCTAAAAGAAAACACATGAATGTGCCTGCCTCAAATCCTCGAGAAAGTTTTTAAGCGATAAAGGGAATGGTTTTGCTAGAAACAAAGCCCGATTCCGCACCCCCAGGGGATGCAATAGGCAGATAAGGATTCACCCCGCTTCCCTCTTCCCTTCCCAAAGCCCTCCTTGAGGAGGGAAGGGAATTCAGACTCCACTGTGTGTGCCAGAGAGCCGAGCTGCGGATAGCGTTTCATTATCAGCCGTAGCTGCCAGTTGCCAGTGGCTCTGGCTGGTACCAGCAAGCTCAGTTCATGCAGAAACTCTGCCTGAAACTCTGGGGGAGGAGGGAGAAGTACCTCACATGCTTAGCTGTTCAGCTCCCTTCTCCTTCCCCAGCTCCCCATTAGGGATTTCTTACCAGGCTGCCTTTTATCTGACACTGGCAGGGTTACAGATGCATTCAGCCCACAGAGAAAGAAGAGGGATTAGAGAAAGGACTTTCAGAAAGCCTAAGAGTTGGACTCTGCAACCTTAAATCATGTTCAACTAGATCTTCTCAGATTGGGAGCATCTGGTGCTAAGCAAATCCAGAGCTGATCAACACATTCAACCTCCTGATTAGCACTTTGCTTCAACTTGCTGACGCAGCCCAGCCTGAAGTCAGCCTGGGTGCTTGAACCGAGTGTCCACAGAGATTTTACAGAGTGTAAATCAAAAACCTGTCACTTGTTATATATGCGTTCCTGCTTTGGAAGACATTTGTTTACACATATTGTACACTAGCCCCTTAAAAACATACGCACAAGGCAAGGAGAGCTAGAGAGCAGGGGAGCAGTGCAGCTTTTGGTGCTTGGCTAAAAACAAATTGTAATGCAAATAAACAGAGGGGCGGAAATGACTGGGCAGCCCAGCACAAACCCCACCAGCAGGCTGGGGGCCGGGGACCCAGCGCTCCCCAGCCTTCCTGGCAGGTTCCTGCCAAGCTGCTTACAGAAAGGGGATGCCGGAGCATTCCTTTAAAAGCCATGTGAAAGCATCTCCTTGTTGTTTGCTCAATTAGCCCCAGACAGATTGCTGCTGCTGCTGCTGGTGGCAACGCCGGGTTGTAAAGGAGGAGGGGAAGGAGGGGAAAGGGGGGGGAAGAGAGAGAGAAAAAAAAAAAGGTTAGGGCCTAGGCCCAGGACCACCACGAAGTTCCAGCCCTCAGGGGCTCCAGAAAACGTTCAGTTTACTCACTCAATTACATACACTGTTTTATAAACCCTTTAAAATAAAATAGAAAACAGTCCCTGGCACAGAATTACTGCTCTATTATACAGCAGTGATGAAAGCCACTGCTGTGTATTTGCTCTCTTTAAAGCAAGAGATAGTTTAACTTAAAAAACTAGGCGGGGGGAGGGGTGGCTGCAGAAACGCATGCACGAAAACACGCCGTGGGTGGTTCCTACCACATTCACCCAGGACAGAAAGGATCAGAGAGTGGGAGAGAAGAGCAACTTGTCTCTGCAGTGATGGTTGGCCCTGGAAAAGCAGCCAGGTTGGGGGGGGGCGGGGGGGGAGGAACTAAAGGGGCTTAAGGGGATGGGAAGCAGCTGAAGCTTGACTTTGGGAGGCTGGAGGGTGTTTTAAATTACATGTAGAGATAAAGAAGGGAAGCAGGTGATGGGGGCTGATTTGTTTGTGTTTACAGAGCAGTGGGGCTTTCCAGTCAAGGCCTGCTCTCTTGCCAGCCACACTTTACTTACGCTGTGGCCCGAAAGGCCAGGAGTGTCTCACAGATTTGTCCCAAGCGCAGCAGCTGTCAGCTGAGCCCGCAGGTCTCCAGGAGCCACGCTCCCCATGCGCTGGGTGCCCCAGCTGCTCCCAGGGGTGGGATGTGCAACTCACCCCAGGGGCACGGGAATGGGGCTGGTGGTAGCTTCAGGCAGATCAGCTCTGGCCCACAGCCAGGGCCTCCAGCCCAGAACAGGCGGGCAGTAGAGATATCGCTCCTGCCTCACGCTCACGCCGAGCAACAGTGCTCTGCTCACCTGGTTCAGCTGAGGCTGTTCTCACAGGTCAACCAGCATTAACCCATTTGCCTTCAAACCCATCTGGGGAACAGACGTGTCTTGGGAGCGCAAAAGTAAATGCAACGCTGAATTCAGTGCCCAAAGAGAGATGAATTTACTGTGGCTTGGAGCAGATGGGTGGGGGGAGTGAAGGAACTGGAAAGAGAGGTGTACGGGAAAGTGATCTGTCAGGGTCTTAGGAGAAAGGTTAGTCAAGGGAAGAGGAGACCAAGAGCTGGGGATGTGCCTGAGACAGCAAGCTCCTTGGGGAGGGAGGCACCCTTGGAGTCCTAGTATTGGGGCAGAGTCCTAGCGAGGTGTTTAAGAAA